TGTTAGTGTAAAGCGCTTTGGGGGTCCGGAGGGACTTGAAAAGCGCTCTATAAGTTCAGCACCATTTACCATTTATTTTAAACAATGTAAACACATTTTTAATAACTTTACATGAACTTTGAAATGTTAATTGAAATAAAAGGATATAATGAATGAACTTATCCTTGCTATTTATTATCTTATACTTCTCTAATGTTTTCACTATCCTGGTTACAAGCAGTCCAAAAGCTGGCTTCTCTGATGGTATGGGGGTGCATTAATGCCTCAGACATGGGCAGCTCACACAATGGAGGTTGGGACATAATTACATACCAAATTCTCACCCCTGAATTAAATAAAACTTAAAAATCTTTTTACTCTGAATATTTGATTGAAGTTGAACTTAAAGACAAAATAATCCATAAACAGTAGCCTTAATATTTGTTGTTTTAAAAGTCAAACTGACGAAACCATCTGCTGACTAAAGTTTGTAGATAAGCGGTCACAGCTGAAAGATACTTCCTTAAACTCATTGAGGAACTTCAGAAAAGTATTTCAAACTGTTTATCCTTAAAAATAAACTTTATTAAAGTTGACAGAAAAGAGTTCTTTACCTTGAAGAAGAATCACAGACAGAAAAAACATCTTTATTCTCCAGTAACAACCACAAACCTGTGGTTTAATTCAAACTCCTGCTCCATAAATCTGCCTCTCCCTCCAGTAATGATTCACCGCAGGGCAGGGATCAGGTGTTTTTATGACTTTCACTATAAAAGCATGACTGATTCAAAGACATGAGCTGCAGCGTTTGGTTCGAGACGTTTTGAACATTTAAAGAAGCAGAATAAAGTTCGAGACCAAACATTAAAGTGCCTGTGACATCAAATTTTTGTACTAAATATGAACACATTTTTGGAACAATAGCATTAATAACATACTGCAAAACTAATTTCACACCGCTGAGATGAACGGTTGTTGAGATATTTGCATGCAAAGAAACAGGAAGTGATGTCAAACGGGAATGTCTGCATGTAAACAGAGCATTGCTACAGTAGCTAACAGACTGTAGAGAAGAATCTGATGTTTTTAGACTATTTTGAGTCGCCAGAGACATGAAGACCAGTTAGTTTAAATAGTTTCAATAGACTTCTTAAAGTTTTCCCCTTTGATGTCACTTCCTGTTTCACTTTATCTGAGCCAAGTTCTAAAGAAAATATGTGATTTATGTGACAAAATGAGTAAAATCAAGTGTACTATGCAAAGTTTCTTAAATATAAAGTTTTCTTGGACTTTCTGTAGTTGAAGGATATAAACTAAACATCACAGTCACTTTAAAACATGCTAATTCTACTACCAGGTCTTTTACCTTTATTAAACATCCTCTCAGAAACCTGATTCAGTAAACTCGCTGTGTTTAATGCTACACATCATTAAATTCACTTGTGTCGTAATTAAAGTTAAAATTTTTGAATTTAGAGACCGTGAGATTATCTGAAAACAAACCTTAAAAAGTAAATAAAAGCAAGCAGAGAGGCGGTTCCAGTTCAGGAAGCATCAGTTTATTAGAACTTGATGTGAATGGATGAGTGTTTAAATACGCTGCTGAATGTTCCTCGCCTGGCTCCGCCCGCTCCGTCGGGCCCACAGGATGTACTTCGTTACTTTACACGTTAAACGAGGCCGGCTGCTGAACGCAGCTCGGCACAGGAAGGCCGATGGGTTTGTTTTGTTTTTTTATGCTTGGTGTGAACGCAGCCTGGCTGGAAATGTTGGCGAGCACTGGGTCAGCCGCTCAAATGTTTTAATCGTCCAGGAAGAAATAGTTCCCGCTCTTCTTCTGTTCCGTGTCCTGGAGGAGGAGACAGGTTGCTGAAGCCAGTTTAAATGGTTAAAACCAAACGGAGCTGTGAAAACCAAACGCACCTTGATGGAGTTGAGCTTGTTGATTCTCGGCCTGAAGTTGTTGGGGTCTCTCCTGAACGTGATCTCCAGCAGCGACAGGAAGCGGTTCATCCCAGCCAGCAGACTCTGAGGCCTGACGAAGAGAACGAGTCGAGGTTTGAAGAGCGCGGGGCTCGAGATCGTAAAGGGCACTTCCAAACGTATTCAGTGTCTTACGTGTTTGCAGAGGTCTTCTTGGAGGGAATGCCGTCGAACACGATGACCCTGTCGGCCAGGTAGGTGGCCATGATGAAGTCGTGCTCCACCACGAACGCAGTCTTCTTAGCGTGGAGGATGTACCTGAAGAAAAAAGTTATAAATCAAACATGAGAAACAATATCTCCTGCAGCGAGTGCCCGGTGGTCCAGCCCTGGCTCCTGGGACTCAGATGAGCTCGGCTCAGAAGAGAGAGAGACCACCTCCACCTGGGCTCACCTCCTGAGAGGATCGTCAAGGTTGATCGTCAAGTAAGCGGTGCAGAGAGTGAGGGTCTGTGGCTGTAAGCTAGGTCTTATAATGCTAAAGATGCTAATGCTAATTCAACCACCAAAGGTACTTGAGCCAATGCTAGTTCCACTATTAGTGCTAATGCTAGGTCCACTACTAATCGTATTTATGCGAATGCTACAGCCGTTACAAGTACTAATGCTAGGTCCACTACTAATGGTATTTATGCTAATGCTACAGCCGTTACTAGTGCTAATGTGAGTTACGCTATTAATGGTTAGGCCGGTCACAATAACAAATTTTGCTGGGCGATTAATTGTCTCACAAATTATTGCGATAAYCGATAATATTGCCTGGTGACCATTTTACAAATAATAATTATAAAAGCGTAATATGTAAGTGTYATAAATRAATAAACTTWAATTTTTAAAMAATGTTTAACAAAGTGGACTCTCAGTCTCTAACAAAAAATGCACTTGAATAAAAAAAACCAAAGAACAACAAAATGTAAATTAAACACCACACACAACTAAGACAGTAAATAAACAATATTAAAGTGCAGCATCTCTTTAGAGATGAAGCAAATTACACAGCCTGGTGAGGACCCACTGTTTCTTATGGGGACATAAGCCCAGTTAATATCCCATGTAAAGTGTAGGCTAGGTTTAGGGTCAAATGGTAATAGAAAATACTGGTAAATGAATGAAAGTCAATGCAAAGTCCCCATGAGGATAGAAGAACAAACGTGTCTATGTGTGTGTGTGAGGAGGGGACAGTCAGTGAGGAGACAAGCAGAGCGCTGCGGGGAAGGAAATCAGACAGTTCAGAGTTTTCCTCATGAGTTGTTGGGACAGCTACAGGTTTTTTGGGTGTTTTGTTAAAACACAGATGGTGCGTTTAGGTTTCCTGTTATTTTTGGGAACTACAGGTAAAGTCTTGACGAGTTTGTCGTGGGTCTGGGGGAGTTTCAGCCCCGACCCCTCCTCCTCCTCTCTCTCTGTATCTCCCCGCAGCGAATTTCAAGCTCTGCAAGTGCTCCGACACTGCAGCAGCCGCGTTCTACTTTGAAACCAATTCTATCTCCATTTTTCAGAATCCCATCAACATTTCTTTAGTTTGTTATTGCTACGAGCTCTCAAGCTAAAGCGAGCGTTCACTCCTCCCAACACTAAGAAAACAGGAGGGGAGGAGTCAGCTGAGCTCCTGTGCAGCGGAGCACAGAGAGGGAGAGAGACGAAGTAAACAAACAAGCAGGAAAATGAAACTTATCGTCCTCCTTTTTTTTTACTGACCACAAAATAATTTATCGTGCAATTAATTGATTTATTGACTATCGCGAGAGGCCTATTAATGGTATTTGTGCTAATGCTACAGCCGCTACTAATGGTAATGCTAGTTCCACTACTAATGTTACTTATGCTAATGCAAGTTCCACTACTAATGGTACTTATGCTAATGCTACATCCACTACTAGTGATAATGCTAGTTCCACTACTAATGGTACTTAGGCTAATGCAAGTTCTATGACTAATGATACTTATACTAATGCTAGTTCTACTACTAATGGTACTTGTGCTAATGCTGCAGCCACTACTAATAGTACTTATGCTAATGCTAGTTCTATGACTAATGATACTTGTGCTAATGCTACAGCCACTACTAATGGTACTTA